GTTTGGACGGATGTGCTCGAGGCGATTGGTGTGCTTGCAGTCATTGCTAATGGACTGGTCATTGGTATATCCTCTGATTTCATTCCACGACTGGTTTACCAGTACTTCTATGGGCCTTGTGCCAGCGACAGTGCTACTGGCATTGAGTGAGTTGGGCTTGATTTTTTACAACTGCGTAATCAATATATTTGCAGCAGCACAAAAGTGTCTTTTAATCTTCCTTGTTTATTTCTCAGTTGTATGGTTGGATACATAAACAACACTCTGTCCGTTGCTAATATAAGTGATGAGAGAGTCAGGGGAGATTTCACAAATAGTCAAATGGTCACTTACAGTGGCATAAATGTGACACACTGCAGGTAATGTTATTAACCCTTCTTATCTATCTATCTATCTATCTATCTACTGTGGATTTTGAAAAAATATATATATTTTTTTTAATAGCATTTTAGATGCTGTTTAATTCAACAAAATATTTTGGTCAAAATCAAGGCTTTGACTTTGTACTGTTTTCATTTCAGCTACAGGGACTACAGAAGTAATGAAGACTTTAGTTTATCTAATCAGTATTGGGTCATTCTGGCAGCGCGATTAGTCTTCATCATTCTGTTTGAGGTACATACAGTACATACTGTACATCTCATACTTTATAAGAACAGCATTTCAGATACAGAGTAATTATCCTAAGATTAATAATGAATTCTCTCTCTCTCTCTCTCTCTCTCTCTCTCTCTCTCTCTCTCTTACTCTCTCTTTCTAGTGTCATTGCTTTTGTTGTGTTTAATTTATTTTATTTTCTACATTTGTGAACTTAAATCTCTCTCTCTCTCTCTCTCTCTCTCTCTCTAGCATGTAGTGGTGATCTGTAAGTGTGTAGCAAGCTGGTTTGTCCCTAACCCACCCCTGGATGTGAGAAATGAAAGACTGTATGATAAACTCAGGAGACTTAAGGAAGAACTGAGGTCAGTAACAAGAGCTTACACACTATAGAACCACAAATGTGCATTAAGAATGTAAACGGAGTAAATGTTTCATGAATTTTGACAAGTTCTTTTAATGTGTGCATATTCATGTTTTTTTTTTTTTTTTCAGTGTTCAAAGAGCACAACCGGACCCTTTGACCAAACTAAATGAGAATGGTAATGCAAAAAGAACATCTAAACAGAAAAAAGCAAATAAGCTAAATAGTATGTGAGACAAATGAGCTAAAACGAGATGATGCCCCCTCGTAAAATTTGTAGGTCCTCATTCTAGAAGCATCTGAATTTCGACTGTTGCTAGTCACCTTTATTAAAAAAGATTTTACATTTTAAAGGGTGGTTACATTTTTAATTGATTATTGCATCTCAGTTTGTGGATTAATGACTGCTTGATAAATCAGTTTTGTCTAACGTATATAAAGATGTATACACTACTGTCCAAAGTTTTGAGAGTCGGTAAGTTTTATTTTTTTATGTTTTTAAAAGAAATATCTTGTGCTCACCAAGGCTGCATTTCTTTGATCAAAATACAGTAAAAAGTCACCAAGTGATGTAAAATTGCCACTAAAATAAAGTTGTGAAATATTACAACTTAAATTAACTTTCTTCTATTTTAATACATTTTAAAATGTACTTTATTCCTGTGATGGCAAGCAGAATTTTCAGCAGCATTACTCCAGTCTTCAGTGTCAATGTAAAGTTTCAATGTAAAAGTCTTTACAGTCACTTTTGATCAATTTAGTGCATCCTTGCTGAATAAAGTATTAATTTATTTCAAATCAATCAATCTTATTGACCCCAAACTTTTTTTTAGCATGTAAACTTATTATTATTATTTTTTATAAGATGTATATACAGTATAAAAGAAATATGTATTATATTTAAGATAAATGACCTGAATATAAAATGTAACTATTTTGTAAAAAAAAAAAGTATAAAGGTAATGAAAGTGCTGTGGTTTCTGTTGTAAAACATTTAAATAAAATCAATGAAATTGACGTCTTGACCTCTCAGAATCTATTTCACCACTTTTTTTTTTTTTTTTTACATAAATAGATCATGTTACATTCCCGTTCCCCAGTCTAGGGTTGGGAGTGGGAGTAACAGGTTAACTAAAACTCATAAAGGAAGAAATAAATAAGATGTGGAGGAATCACTCCAATCCTCTGCCCCAGAAATGCAGCAACCACTTAGTTTGACAAACTTAAACAATTTATTTAGACCAGCAAGAATCATAGAAGCAATAAATGTCTTCAGTAAAGGGCCTGGCCAAAACAACAAACAAAACAGCAGCTAACTAACAGGAGAAGTACTAAATAACCTATCCAGGTAAAAGAAAAGAAAAACAACAAAAGCCTTTCTCAACTCCCGAACTAAAGGCGGGCGTACACGGTGCGATTTTTTTCTGTCGTACGAGCTCGCAGGCGATTTTTTTTCTCTCGGGAGAAAATCGCAGATGCTCGCGGCTCGTACTGTGTGAGAAGAATTACGGGCCGATCCGAGACGTTACGAGCACCTCCCGTCCTCCCGATAATTTTCAAACATGTCAAAAAAAATCGGATGCTGTCGGTTTAAATTCGTGGCATATGTGCGGTTGAACCAGACGATTTGGCGATCTGAAGTTGACCAATCAGAAAATTACAAAAACCATATAGTCTATAATAATTTTAAGAAAGTGAAAAAGACAAGTGACATGTGGCCAAGTATGGTGACCCATACTCGGAATTAGTGCTCTGCATCTATCCCATCCAAAGTGCACACACACAGCAGTGAACACACACACAGTGAACACACACCCGGTCACGACGTTCCGACCTTCAGAATCACACCGTGTATGCCCGCCTTAACCAAAAACAGGGATAAACATTGAGTACAAAATAAACTGGCACCCTCTCCCTTAGGGTTGCCAACTTCAGAAAATGAAAATACGGGACAATCACCTTAGGGGGGAGGGTGGGGGGGATTGGCGTTAGCGCCGCTTGCTGTGAGGCGGGAGCGACCAGCCGGCAGAGGATGGCGCAGCCTTCCTCGAACAGTTATGTTCACGATTTCTGATTTACTTAACGTATACTGCGTGAGGGGGGCTGTTATTGGATGATAACAGGTATCGGTGATCATTCTCAAGTGATCAGCTCTGCTGCTGTTGTATCAGTCAGTGGTTAGATCAGCATAGCAGTCAAAAAACGGGACAAGGGAAGTCGCGTACGGGACAAATCAATTAGACCCAAAATACGGGGTTGGCAACCCTACTCTCCCTACAGCTTCCAACCTAACCATAAATCAAATAAACAAACAAAATCAGTTACAATACCTTTTAATACCTGAACAAAGAAAGTAAGTTTAAAAGTTACACACACTACTTGTAGTTTCAGAATACAACTTGCATTTGGAAGTTATCATTCAACAGATAACTATTAAAGTTTGCACCACAATCAGCAAATAAAGACTTGAAAAAGAAACACCCAACACAAGTCTGGAGCAGGGAGAAGTGAACCTCTCCAAGCAGTGTTCACTCTGCTCTTTTGTAGCAGCACTCTCTGCAGCACACTCTCTGATGAGCACCACCTGAGGGCAATTTGCAACTACCAAGCAAGCAGAGAGTGAGAGAGAGAACACACACACACACACACACACACACACACACACACACACACACACAAATACAGAGAAAGGAGAAAGCTGTTCATCGAGTCATCTTCCTCTGACTAATTTGCCACTACACCAACATCGGCAATAGAGGCAGGCAGCAGAGAACACACAGTCTGAGCTGCAGTCACTTCAGAGTGAGCCTTGTCTACATAGGTTTTAAGTTTGTTTACATGACACACATGCTCTTAAATTTTTGGTCAGGAGTGGCAACAAGAAAGTTTGTGTTATTTAACTTCTTTTCAACCAGGTATGGACCAGATAATTTTTTTAGCTTTATTTTTCCCATTTCTTTTTCAATAGCTTTTGTCAACTTTCATGGATGAAAGTGTACCCCTTCTCTTTTGAATGTTACCATTACTTTCCATTCCATTTCTTCATCCACCCACACGCTTGACTTTGCAGCCTTTTCCTCCGCCTCCGCTCCGACCTATAATCCACTCCTTTCCTCTCTAAACTATATAAAGCACAGACGAACACTCGCTGTCGACTTGAAGCAGTGCATGCCGGTTAGAAATTTAGTCCGACTTGAACCGGCGCCGACGCCACGTCACTGTCACGTGTGGCATCAAAGTACCGCGAGAGCGTTTCGAGAGCAGCCGGCTGACTCAGCTGGAGCAGTTTCTCAAGAGCGACTGCAGGAGCGCTGATGACGACACATCTGTTTCACGATTGGCCAAATTCACCACATGACAACAATGCCGTGTGTTTCTAACATCTTCAAATCCAATACTGCTCATAAATCTGTTTTTAGAACAGTAAAAGCTTTTTTACTGTAGAGCAGTATATAAAAAGTGTTTCTGTTGCTCATGAGAACGTTTCTGAAACGTCTGTGTATTTGACAAATATTGCATTTAATTCACTTCATCTGTGATAGAGTACTAAAACACCGCGTGAGCGTCACTAACGGGGGCAGAACTGTCCGGCTTGACGGCTCCGTTTTCACCTCCGCCCCCGACTGCGAGCGGCTGCTCTCGGTGATCGCCGTCTGTAGCGGTGCTTCAAGTCCAACGCACCTAGTGACTCTAGGCTACGTAGGATGGGACGAAACCATGCAGTGAATGGGGGGAGATCGCGTAGAAAAGTGCGTGGGCCCTTAGAATCCACCTAACTTCCCCCCCTTACCGGTGCCCCTGAGGACAGGGGCCACCAAACTCTGTCCTGGAGGGTTTTGCCCATAGACTGTATAAAAACATGGACGTAGTGTCCGTGACGTCACCCGTAGGTTTCCAAAGAGCGTTTTTGAAGCTCAAAGTGGGCGGAGGCGGTGGTTTTGCCTCAACACACCTGCCTGGAAGTTTCTAGTATACCTAGTAAGAGGTTGGTTAGCTGGTTCAGGTGTGTTTGATTAGGGTTGGAGCTCAACTCTGCAGGACACCGGCCCTCCAGGACTGAGTTTGGTGACCCCTGGTGTAGGATGTCATTGTGGAATAAAATGGTTTGTGTGGCTTATCATATTATTCTACATGTGAAATACAGGAGACACTTGACCTCATAAATGTCCGAGGAGAGTCTGCCTAGATCTACACAGGGCAACTTTTTGAGCAATGCTGCTGGGCAATGTTGCTGTCAACGGGCAACCAGGTGAGACACGGCCCACGACCGATCTAAAGTATCCGGTTGCCCATTCTCAATGGAAAAGTGCCCAAGCAACATTGCTCAAAAAAGTTGCCCCGTGTATCATCACCTTTAGGTTTTTTTCTTAGGTGCACATGATAGGGTTGAACTGCTGTTTTGTAACTGTGGACAAACAAGCTATAGTATATGCAGGGAATATTGTAATATTTATATACAGTACTTTTGCTACACAGTGTAGAAATACATAATATATTTAAAATTATAAATATGAATAATGGGGAAAATATGATATGACACCGTGTTAAATGTAGGTGTTGACTAACTCCAGCAGATGGCAGTAGTGCAGCATCCGGGATGCAGGCTGCCGTTAAAACCCAAAGAAGAAGAAGAATGAGGCGCCAAATTTTGTACCTTTCCTTCGTGAACGGAGGGCGATAAATAGTGGAATGAATCATGAATCTTAAAGGCAAAGGTGAGAATTATTTACTCATGCTGTGAGTTAATGTAACGTAATGTTTGCAACCGTCGCATGATACTAAACTAAATATCCGAAAACAAAAGATAGTTACTAATGCACACGTTAATGTTTACGGACATTAGCTTTTGTTGTCGTGTATATTAGCATCTTGTTTACTATAGTTTTGCTTTTAAATGAACTATATTGTTTATGTTTCCTGTGCAGCAACCGCGGATTCTAACGCCAGCAGGTAAATAAATAAATAAATATACACACAGCTATGATACTGCGGTCCAAAACACACAAAAACAGGGAATGATTGTGTGTTGAAGAATAAACCAGATTAATTTACAGCTAATGTTCTATACCGTTATATAACGTAACGTTACACAGTTTGTACTTTTTTTAAAATACGATTTAACTAACTTTTTTCAGTGTTTATTACAGATCAGTTAATAAGGATATACGCGATGCTAGGCTGTTAACATTTGTCTTGACAGAAACAAATCAGTAGCACTTTGTTCCTCATATCTTCGCTGCTGATCTAGACATTTTTCAAAGAATTTGTGCTCTGAGACCCCCGCAAAAAAAGTAAATTGTCATCATTTACTCCAAACCTGTTTGAGTTATTTCTTCTGTTCAACACAAAAGAAGATATTTTGAAGAATGTGTTCAATAAAAGAAAGAAAGAAATTCATACAGGTTAGGAAGAACAGGAGGGTGAGTAAATGATGACAGAATTTTTTTGTGAACTATCCCTTTAAAAATGTTCCTGCAGTGATGGAGATGCCATCAAGGTGTTTGTGCGGGTTCGGCCGCTGACTCAAGGCTCTGGGTTAACAACAGACGGCGATCGCAGTCTGTGTCTGACTGTGACCTCGCCACACACCGTCAGACTGCACTGCAAACCAGAGCCTCGGACCTTCACATACGACCATGTCGCTGACATGAACACAAGCCAGGTGAGGCAGGGGTTACATTCATCTTCTCTAGGTCATCTCATCATCTCATCACTGTTCTTTATGTCTCTCAGGAGGAGGTTTTCTCCAGTGTGGCTAAAAACATTGTGGAGTCGTGCATGAATGGATACAACGGGACCATTTTTGCCTAGTGAGTTCCTGTGTGGCTTTTATCTAAATGTTCTAGAGCTGTGGTGGATTCATGATGTGGTGTGATTGTTTTTCAGTGGACAGACGGGCTCAGGAAAGACCTTCACCATGCTGGGTAAGTGATGAGTTCTCTCGTCAGAAGGCCTGCTAGTTAGATCTTTTGTCTGTGTATGCACACACGCACTTTACAGCAGGTCCCAGAGAATGTAACTGGACACTTGAGATAAAATTTAAATTATATTTTATATACTGCAATGATGGCATTTGTTTAGAAAATTAGCTAAAACCCGCTTTTCTAGCAAAATATTTCACATGCTGTAGTTGTCAGATGTTAGTGGAACATGTTCCTCTTTAGTTAAAATGAGTAACTGCATTATGAAGTATGTGGTTACTCTGCTAGTACACTTGAGTAGACTTGAGGAGTACTAACTTTAAAGAATACTTCACCCAAAAATGAAAATTTGCTGAAAATTTACTCGCCCTCAGGCCGTCAGAGATGTAGATGAGTTTGTTTCTTCATCAGATTTGGAGAAATGTAGCATTACATCACTTGTTCATCAATAGATGCTCTGCAAGTGAATGGGTGCCGTCAGAATGAGAGTCCAAACAGCTGATAAAAACATCACAATAATCCACACCACTCCAGTCCATCAGTTAATGTCTTGAGAAAAGCTGCATATTTGTTAGAAACAAATCCATCAAGACGTTTTTAACTTCAAACCGTCTTCTGGCTAAAATATGTCCTCTATCCATTATATTCATTTTTGGATGTACTGTTCATTTCATACATTAATCACAACAGCTGGCATCAGTCATTCAAAAAGTGGCTCAGGATGGTAAAGTTGTGAGAACATCATTTGTTTGTTTAGATGACAGTTTGTTATCTATTGCACTATCAATTAAACTCAAATTACTTTTGGGACCACTGTATTCATATCTGGTGAGAGCTGTATAAAAATGAGTCTAAATACACACAAGTAACGGTGATTGTATTTTGTGTGTGAAGGTCCCTCAGAGCTGGATAATTTTTCAGATGAACTGCGTGGTGTAATTCCTCGAAGTTTTGAATACCTCTTCTTCCTCATCAACAGAGAGGTGGAACGGGTAAGACGGGTTTCATTAAATATAACATTTCTAAATATTTTCTTCAGTGCTCAAAATTGCGTTATTCGATAAAGTAACTAACTGCATTACTTAATTACTTATTTATGGAAGGGAATCTGTTACGTTACTTTTGCTTTACTTGTCTCCTGGGCTGGACTTGCTTATTTGATTAAAAAAACAACTAAAAGTTATATTTTTGCCAACTGTACAGGCCCTTTCACACCAAAAGTGAAATTAATAAGCCTCTGTGAAAACAAAGTAATTTACTTATTTGAAAAAATAAATCAGATATTTAATTCTAAATTTAAAAGTGATATGTTACTTTACTAGTTTCTTGAAAAAGTAATCTGATTATGTAACTCGCATTGCTTGTAATGCGTTACACCAACACTGGTTACAAAACATTGATACATACAACATCAAAAGACCTTTTTGTGGTATAGATCCCACTTCAGTTCAGTGTTGTGAAGTGCTGTAAAAAGTATTTAAAGGGGTCATATGATGCGATTTCAAGTTTTCCTTTCTCTTTGAGAGAGAGGGTCACAAACACATACCAGCGTCATCACTGTGTCTGTCACGCGACAGGGGGTCACATCACAAACACATACCAGCGTCATCACTGTGTCTGTCACGCGACTCTGTTCCCCTTTCGGGCTCTGTCTTTACATTTATTTTGAAAGATGAAGCTCGCGATTATGGTAAGGGGTGTTACATTTCCGACGAGTGCTTGCGGTGTTCGGCCAATCACAATGCACTGGGTCAGCTGGCCAATCAGAGCAGACTGCGCTTGTCGGAAGGAGGGACTTTGTAGAAAACTAAGCGTTTGAGAGAGGCGGGGCATAGAGGACCTACAATAATGTACAGTATTTGAAAAATAATGTGCTTTTTGAACATTAAAGCATGTCAACATATTCTGTTACACCAAATACACAAAATAATGATCTTTAAAAAAGCATCATATGACCCCTTTAATCAATGACATTGCTCACAATGTTTTTTTTTTTTCTAATCTTGTGTTTTTTCCTCCTCAATGGGCCATATTGTTTTTAATGTTCACTTAAAGACTTTCTTTTTTATTTTTTTATTTTTTTTCTGTGCAGTCTGGTGGGCTGAAGAGCTTCCTCTGCAAGTGTTCATTCATAGAGATCTACAATGAGCAGATTTATGACCTATTGGACAGTGTGTCCACCAGCCTGTTCCTGCGAGAGGACATCAAGAGGGGCGTCTTTGTAGAAGGAGCTGTGGAGAAATATGCAGCATCTGCTGCAGAGGCCTATCAGGTCTTACACATGTTTCTAAATGCTAAGACTAATAATAATGATAATAATATCCACTCCTAGCTACTGAAATAAGTTTATGCATATGATTTTGGCATTTCTGTTGTGAGCTTTGTGATTTATTTCTGCATGTTTGTGTGTGCAGGTGTTGTCGATGGGATGGAGGAACAGGCGAGTGGCATCCACCTCAATGAACCGCGAGTCCTCTCGTTCACATGCAGTGTTCACCATGACACTGGAGTCAAAGGAGACTGGACAGGAAGTGGTCAACATCAGGACCTCTCAGCTGAACCTGGTGGATCTCGCCGGCTCAGAGAGACAGAGGGACACGCATGCAGAGGGTTCACGGCTCAAGGTGCTTACGCTGAAAACTGACCTCTCAAAATCCTTTGTCAAACAGTTCAGTTTTCAAACAAAACAGAGGTTTAGGTTCAGGTTTAACAAGAACACTTGTTATTATTACTATTATTATTATTAGTAGATATATAATGGATAGTTCCGGTCCTTGATTCTGATTGGTTGAGCCGCGTTCGAAGCTGTTGTAAATTACTCTACAAACACACACCTTTGTTTACTTCTGTGTGTTGCTCGGCAACCACTTTGTTGCAACCACAACTGATTCTGAGGAACTACATTGTTTGGTGGAAGAATACTGTTTTTATTAATATCATTACACTTTATTTGCTCTGTTTTATTTTGTGAAACCTAACTACGTATATGGAATAACCGTTTTATAAAAGCAATTAGCCCCGTGAAGCCATGGTTTACAGTGAATTTATAACAGCAAAGGGTTATAAATTATATTTTAATTTATAACAGCTAAGGGTTATATAGATTATATATCACTTCGCGTCGTGCCTCACAATGCCCCTTATCTTGCTTTATTTTATCATTATTACAGTGCATGTTCTATTACAATATTATTCAACTTGATTCTGTTTCAAAAAAGAGCCAACTCTGACCGCTAATGAGTTTTTTCCCACCCTAATGTAATTGACAGTAAATTTCCAACACTACATTAATTGAATGATTCATTAAGTCATAACAGTGAATGTTATAACATTTGTATAGTGTTTCTGTTGCTTTAGTAACAAGGCTGGCAGTTACACATCATTGTTAAATAACAGTAACAGCATTCGTAGTTATTCTTAGTGTGGTAATGTAAGAATCTTAAAAGTGGGGCTGTTTCAAGATTATAAACTATGCTAATTTATGCCCTAATTCAACATTTAGTTAGTTAGCCATTCTTGTTTTAAAGGGGTCATATGATGCTTTTTTAAAGATCATTATTTTGTGTATTTGGTGTAACAGAATATGTTGACGTGCTTTAATGTTCAAAAAACACATTATTTTTCAAATACTGTACATTATTGTAGGTCCTCTATGCCCCGCCTCTCTCAAACGCTTCGTTTTCTACAAAGTCCCTCCTTCCGACAAGCGCAGTCTGCTCTGATTGGCCAGCTGACCCAGTGCATTGTGATTGGCCAAACACCGCAAGCACTCGTCGGAAATGTAACGCCCCTTACCATAATCGCCAGCTTCAGCTTTCAAAATAAATGTAAAGACAGAGCCCGAAAGGGGAACAGTCGCGTGACAGACACAGTGATGAAGCTGGTATGTGTTTGTGATGTGACCCTCTCTCTCTCTCTCTCTCCCTCGCTCTCTCCCTCGCTCTCTCCCTCGCGCTCTCTCTCGCTCTCTCTCGCTCTCTCTCACACGCTCTCTCTCTCGCGCGCTCTCTCTCGCTCTCACTCTCTCGCGCTCTCTCTTTCTCTCTCTCTCTCTCTCGCTCTCTCTCTCTTTCAATTCAAATGAGCTTTATTGGCATGACTTGCACAGTATTGCCAAAGCATTGTCCATTACATGAATAAGGAAGTCTTAACTTTGATAAAGTGTATCTCTTTGGTTTTGAGACTGTAGTCTTTGCAACTTCAGAGATCTTATCTACGCATAATCAGCTTGTAACACTCCAAAGAGAAAGGAAAACTTGAAATCGCATCATATGACCCCTTTAATGGTGACTGCACTGTTGTGACTATTCCACTGTTATTACTTTAAATTAAACGGTAACCTTTTGACTTTTATGCTTTAGGAGGCAAGCAGTATAAACCGGTCACTGATGTGTCTTGGTCAGGTGATCATGGCCCTGATGGATGTGTCAAATGGGAAGAACCGTCACATTTGTTACAGAGATTCGAAACTGACCTTCCTGCTCAGGGTGAGGGCTCTTTACGAATGTGTCTGTAAATATGCAGATGAGTAAATCGTGTCTAACTGCTGTTCATGTGATCAGGACTCTCTGGGCGGAAATGCTAAGACGTACATCATCGCTAACGTTCATCCTGGCTCCAAGTGTTTTGGAGAGACGCTCTCCACTCTGCAGTTCGCTCAGAGAGCCAAACTCATCAAAAATAAGGTTGAGCAACAGAATTATTCATCCAAACATTCATTCATCATCTTAATATTCTTGAAGAATTGGTGCAACGAGAAGGCTAATCTGTGTGTGTGTCTATCTGTAGGCTATGGTAAATGAGGACACTCAGGGTAATGTCAGACAACTGCAAGCGGAAGTGAGAAAACTAAAGGAGCAGCTCGCAAATGCTCTTTCACAAGCACGCGTCATTGAGATGACACCATCAGACCAGCAAACAGGTACACACTCGTTACAGAGCTCACACAGACGATCCATCTGTCTGGACATAATATTCGTTAATGTCTTATTGTTTGAACTGGTGTTTGTGTTGCAGCACACTCTGACGCTGAGCTTTCCTATAAGACGCAGTTCATTCAGGCCATGAGCATCTGGAAGAAAGCACAGGAGGACAAGAAGGTGCCTTTTATGTGCAGTTGCTTTTCGTTGTTGAATTAAATAAAATTTAAATTTACCCTGTTACACTGCTATGAGGCTTCGAATCCGAACACCTCGTGTCAGATCTTACCTCTGGACCATCATACAAGTAAATGAGGCTTTCTCCTAATCTGCTAAATCTCCTAAATTCTGTCAAATTTGTGGAGTCCCCCTAGGGTCACATGCAAGAATTTCATTGACATCTGAAAGTCTGTGCCCACGAGTCAGTCATCTAACCCCCAAATCTTAAGCCCATTATGTAGCCAAAGAAAATAATAACATAACATAATTTAAAATAATAGTTGATTATTTGCATATGCTCCCTATTCTGCTTAACCACAGTTGCCACCTGCTGCTTGTCTTGCTCACAGGCTCTTCAGGGGAAAGTGTCTCAGCTGGAAGCTGCCTGGGCTCAGAAGGAGAAATTCATCCAGTCCAACCGCATGATCCTGAAGTTCAGAGATGATCATATCGCACAGCTGAAGAAAGAACTTCAGACAGGCCAGAGATCAGACCCTGATCAGCAGAACCAGCAGCTGCAGGAAGAGATACGTCTGCTTCGAGAGCAGGTAGACAAACTCTGTTGTCACAGAGGAACAAATATTGGGAAACACCGCCATGTTTTAATTTGTTCGCTGTGAGAGAGAGAAAGAAAATGCTGAAAGAAAGTGCTCTTTGTCTGCTTTCTGTTTATAATCCATTCATAATTTGAATAAAAGTTTTATTTTTATTCAAATTTTTATTTGAACGGAGGCAGTCGTGGCCTAATAGGTAGAGAGTCGGACTTGTAACCCGAAGGTAGCGGGTTTGAGTCTCGGATCCGGCAGGAATTGTCGAGGGTGGGAGTGAATGAGCAGCGCTCTCTTCCACCCTCAATACCACACTTGAGGTGAGACCCTTGAGCAAGACACCGAACCCCCAACTGCTCCCCGGGTGCCGCAGCAATATGCTGCCCAGCACATGGCTGCCCGCTGCTCCGGGTGTGTGTTCACTGTGTTTGTGTGCACTTGGATGGGTTAAATGCGGAGCACAAATTCTGAGTATGGGTCACCATACTTGGCCACACGTCACTTCACACTCACACTCTAGTTTTAATGCTGCTAGCTACACACTGCAAAGTTCTGAATTGGCAACCATACTTCAACAACTTTTTCTAGGAAGATTGTTTTTATATTGGTCCTTTGATTTTAAATGTTTCTTTTGTGTTCGTTTATAAAAAAAAAAACAGATTTATTATTATTTTATAATAAAAAATATATAATAAATATATATATATATATAAGTGTAGTAGTTGGATTTAGTTCAAAATTGGATTTAGTAATCCAAATCATTTTCATGGGGATCAGGGAGAAAAAAAAATCTTAATTTTTTTTTTCCAGAGCAAATGCAAAAATATTGATTATTTATTAGGAACTGTA